GCATTTGGGACCCCTGTCCCTCAGGGGCACGCCAAGTGTCCTGCCCGCTTCGGTGTTAGCAGGGCTGGAAGTCACCATCCCCGCAGCGGGCCTGGAGTGGGCTGTGGCAGCTGAGGTAACGCGGTGCCGGCCATGGGGCTCGCTGGCTCGCCCACAGGGGTCTCGGCCCCTCGAGGAGTCCTGTGCCATCGGCCAGCAGGCCGCTGTGAGGTGAGCCGCTGCCTACACACAGCCACTCCGCACACACGCTGCGTCTGATCCTCACACGTCAAATAATTGGAAAGCCGGGACCAGCTTTCAGCATGTATCTATGAAGTGTAACAGAGAAGTAGGGGAGAAGGCGCAGCTCAGAGGAATCTGCCCTTGTCTGTTGTTTCCATTCAAAAGTCCACGTCACAAGAAAAGTACCACCAACTTCGTTTTCAGGTAATTTTTAACCTAAACAATTTTCAAGCATTCTGTATTACAAAACAGAAAATGATACAATTAATGGAAGAGGTCAAAATGCTGGCATCACTTGGTTTCCACATTAATACATAAAAATGGACAACACATTAAATAAACATTTTGTTATTAACAATTAGAAATATTAACACCAAAAATCATGTATAAATTAGGAAATAAATGTACAAACTATTTCCAAAGTGCTCTTTCAAATACATTATATACACAACATTCAAGAAGTTCTTAATGTAAGACATTTCAGATTGATGTAATGTTGCTGTTTCATTTTAAGTGTTGTTCGTATTCTCTCAAAAGTATTTCAGCACTTTCAAAAACCACATAAAAGGCGTATTCCCAAGCTGGCAAAGACCAATATTGCATTCTCCTGGCTACCTGTAATATTAATATATTGTAAAGAAAACAATCTTACTTCCTTTCTGTTCCTTGCTATTTGAGAGTACTTATCTGTATGAAAACACCAGCAGGAAAGATGAGAAATGAGGACTGACTGAAAAAAAAGTCTTCTATTTTATCAGTAATTGAAATTATTAATGTAGCAAGGGCAGTGCTTGGACAACATTTAATAGTAAACTCTTCACCTGTCCAGTTAAAGACTTTCCTCTACAGAAAAAAAAAAAGTAATGAATTGTGAGATCTTTCACTTTACTTGTGGTCTTGTTTTTTCAAAATATAAAGTACTAGAACTTGAAATCCCATAAATACACCATTTCAGACAACGAAAAGGAGAAAATCCTACAGAGGATGTATTTACTCTATATTGCAAATTTGTAGTTAATCTCATATTAAAAAATGCTCATGGAGTATATAGTCATCCTAGCTTTTTGCCTCAGAGATGTTTGCTATTTCGTTCAGCACTTACCTAAGCACTTTATAAGTGCTTTTTTCAACACTTTATAAGAACATACAAAACTCAGTAGAAGTGACTTACATTGTTCATACTGGCTTTTACATACCACTAGTTTTTATTTCTAAATTCTCCCTCTATAGGTATTCTTTCACTGGTTGACCCCATTAATAGTTCCCCTCTCTATATGCATAATATTGTTTCACAATTAAAGCTGAATTTATTTGCTTATCTGCAATAAAGATGGATTTTTTTCCTTTACTTCTGACCTATATCTGTCAAGCTACAAGAGAAAAATAAAAGTGATGATGAGCTGTAAGAACAGTCAACCAAGAGATTTGACAATATTTATGGTTATAATGCTTGCTGGAAAATCTGAGCAAGGGCTATGAAAGAATCAGAAATAAAGGAGGATGCCAGCCACCTGCTTGTGAAATTTGGCATGAAAATGTATATGCAAGTTCTAAAATTTGGAGTAGCATGTTTAAGACTGGAGTTTTGCCAGATGTTTTTCTCAGCTAAGCACAATATGAAGCAATATTGACATCTAGTAGGCTGACACTGCAGATCTCAGAGCTCTCTTCTATTTTTCTTTCCACGATAGAAATACTTTAGTTTACATGGATATATAAAAGGTGCCTCTAGTGATTAACATTTCCTTGAATATAGGTTTTGATCCTCTTTCTGTAACTTTTACAACAGAAATGTGGACTTACTCAGATTACTGAATTATAAGACTTGGGTAGGTAGGTATTACAGAAATTGCAGTTAGTTTTATTTTTATCATATAGCATAGAACTGTCTTCACATAAAGAATGTATCCAACCCCTTATTCTTAAGAAGTAAAGTTAAGAGCCATGGATTTCAGAGGCTGGCAGGTAATCTTCAATGCATTCAGTTAAAAACGATCAATAACCTACCAGAGGATACTTCCCTGGACTGAGATACGACTGAATGGCTTTGTATTGAGCCAGACTGCAGAATAACCTGGCTGTTTTCCAGAATGGGGCACAACTGTGATCAAATGATCCTAAAGCTATTTAGAAACATCAAAAATGGGGTGGGGGGTAGGGCGTAAATGAAAAACTTCTGCATTGTATCAACATACAGTACTATACACACTACCAAATATCAAACCATTAAAGCATTGTCTTGTTACCTGTAGTGCACTGCTTCATATCCAGCATGAAATGGACACTGTTCACATACAGACGCTGCTTTGTGCTAAGGGGTAACCAACATAGTACAATTAATCAAAACTGCCTGTACATCCAGTTCAAAAGATGGAGATACTATTGAAATGAATCTGACACAGGATCATATTCTTTTATTGCTGGTAATTTCCATATTGTCCCTATAAAAAAGAGAAATAAAAATGTTGGAGAATAATGTGTCAGAGGTGATATATACAAACAGTGAGTTAGACAATTTCTTTTGGTCTATGAATTTTTAAAGACCCACTGAAGTATCACCAATATTCCTGCACCAAATTATCAGACAGATTTATGTGCGGAGCTAACAGCCAAATCTGCTTTTTCATAGCAGAGATTTAGACAACTTACCTGCTCATAGCCATAAGGCCTCTGTTGCTGAGCGGACGGGCCTGTCTGAGAAGCTCTGTAACTTCCGTATTGCTGCCCCTGTCCCTGTTGGTAGCTGGAATACTGTGAAGAGGCTCCTTGTGCAGGACCTGAGACGACAGTGAAATCTATTACTAAGGCTTGATTTGCTAGGGGGATTTCTTATGATTAACATAATGTAAAACATGATAGTAACAAAGTAAGCTCCGTGAGTATGAACTGTGAGTTTTGCCTAGACCTTTGTCTAGCTTTACACTAGAAAGTGTTAATACTAATAAGGATCTAGTTGCAGCAGTGTAAACTTCAGTTCAGGTTTTAAACTGCGCAGAAAACGTGATACATTTTTAAGTGATTTGCCTCCCTGAAATCTGTATTGGTACAGCTCAATTGTTACCTGTATGCAAGCTACCTGGCCTTTATTTTAGTAACAATTGCATGTTTAACTTCCTATTTAATCTGGCTGTGCCACCATAAGCACTGCCGATCAGGCAGAACCTAAGAAATCTCTTGCATATAGAGATACCTTTAAAAAACATGTAAATCAGACACACAGCTGCACAGGGATATTGATTTCCTTTTATTTGGGACTGTATATTATGTGTATAGAATGCTATGTGCACTTCCTAGCATTACTGGTAGATTTTTACAAAGGAGAACCTTTAAAAAGAGGAGGCCAGATTTTAACATCATAAACTGAATTTTGTGTTTAATTTCACAGAATGTGTCTGGTTTGAGTAGTCCAAACTATCTACTAGTACTGCAGAGTCAGGTGTTAATAATTTAATTCACTTTTTAGGCATGTAGGTTCTATTTCATGACATCTTACATTTCTAGAATGAGTTTGCCGTTTATACCAACATCAATTTATCAAGTTTGGTTAACATTGCCAGTTCAAGGTCAAGTACCACCACATCTGGGAGATCCACCAGAAATGCCTTGCCTTGAAGCTAGGATTTAGATTATTCCAGTCTCTCCGGACCCTGTTTCTGTACTAAATAACCTGAAAGGGTTTCTTTCTCCCAAAGGCAGAGGATGCAGACAAGTTGCCTCCAATCATTCAGAAAACTCAAAGACAGCCAGCAAACTCAGATTCTTTTGATGACAGTAGGGAACTCTGCCCCTGCTGACCTCAAGGGTTCAAAAGCCTGTTCAAAGCATTTCCACTTTTTTCCTTTCGCCTCAGTTCCTCACCAAGAAACAAAACCCCGATGACATTGCAAGAAATCTAAGTGAGGGAGTAGTGATTCTCTGGACTGTTGATGTTATTTTTTCATGTCAGTTCAGAACTGTAAGATGTGCAGGAGGCCTGAAATCCAGGCAGTCACCTCCTGCCAACACTTACCAGGAAGTTACCATGAGGCAAAAGTGTATTTTCTAACTTTCTAACTTTCTTTCAAAGGAGAGAGGGATTCAGGATGCTAACATAACAGCATGGAATGCAGTGCTACACTAATGTGCAACTGCCCACAATCCCTTTTCATGCTATGCTCTTTGGCTAGTATGTGGATATCCAAGGTCAATCAAGAAAATAGCTTACACCATATTTTAGCTGAGGATTGGAGGTGTCAGGATGAAGTATTGCAAACACTTGACCAGTCAGTGACAGTTTTCTTACCGTATCCTTGCTGTTGTCCCGGGTAACTTTGTTGATTTGGGTATTGCTGCTGGGAATATGTTTGCTGTTGTGCAGCTCCCTGTTGGTATCCTGCCTGCTGCTGGCTGTACTGAGAATTTCCTAAAGAAGGAAAAATTGAAGTAGTTTGGTTAAAGATGAAGCAGGTATTTCACTGTAGATGTGAATCATAAGGAAAACAAAGGAGCCTAGGTCTGGAACTCATAGACGAGTACTCTTTTCAGAAACAGATGTTTGCATTTTGCCAATCACGATAAGTTTATTTCTTCAGTGATTTTTAATTCTTTTGAACAGGAAAGAGTTGTGTATTTATACACATCACTAAACAAACAAACAAGTAACCTGTTCCCCAAAGGACTTTTTTTTTTACCCCAGAAATGTTTCAGAAGAAAAACACAGAGTCACAAAGATAAGGGTGCCAGTTTAATACTGCTTTCTCAAGAAGCCCTCCCACTGTATTTTCTTCCAGATAATGACATTTATTCATATATCCCAGAAAGACCACTTATCTAGTTGTTACTAGTATTTTTTGAGATACCTATGACGGAAATTCCATTTGCAGTATCCTGAAACAACAAAATGAACAGATACGATACAGATGACATTGCTTTTCCTAAATGCCACCTTGCTGTATCATAATTAAGTTAATACTTTGCAGTTAATTTAG